TGCAACATAGGGCTCATGCCACATTCCTGTGGCAATCACTGGGTTCTCTCTGTTGACCATCCTCTGCTGTGGGATGGAGGGGGAGGCCCTTGTAATCTATATAGCTGGGATATGAAGAGCTGGGGTGGAGGCAGGTGAGGAGGGACCATTTGAGGGTCATTTCCCCTTTATTTCCCTTCAACCTTGCACGGAGCCTAGCATGAAGTAGGTGCTCTATCCATACCTGCTGTCTTTATGCTGTCAATGTGTATATTGAAGGCTCTCCTCTTTCCCCCAGCACCGACATCGAATGGTAGTTTTGGAGCCACTGAACAAACTGCTGCAGGCGAAATGGGATCAGTTTATCTCCAAGTTCTTCTTCAACTTCCTGTGTTATCTGATCTACATGCTCATTTTCACTGCTGTTGCCTACCACCAGCCAGCCCTGGACCAGGCAAGGGCAGGGAGAGAAGTCACTAGGGAAACCTGGTTGAAGTAACACTGGAGGGAGCTTGGACAGGGACCACCATCCCCATCCTACAAAGGCAGCCTGAGTGAAGCATCCAGGGTGGGAGTATCAATTATAGAAGCCAGCCCCCTAGTAGTAATGACAGTTTTCATAGTGAATACTTACTGAGTGCTTACCATACATGATTGATATGTGTTAACTCATGAATGCTCACAATAACCCTCTGGAATAACAAACTATTGTCATCCTCAGTTATATACTTGAGAGAAGGGAGGCACCTCTAGAGAGGTTAAGTAACTTACCCAAGGTCACACACCCTGTAAGTGGTGGAGTCAGGATCTGAACCCAGACAGTCTGGCTCCAAAGCGTATGTTTTTAATTGCTACACAATGTGCCTCTCAAGGCACTTGAGTCCAGGGGTTCTTCCCCAGAGACCATGTTCCCTCTGGTGCTCCATAGTGTAGGCTCAGAATGGCCCCTGAGCTATGCTGCGAGCTGATGGGGAGAGGACTTCCGGCACCAGGACTTATCTGAGTCTGTATGTGTCCTCAGCAGGCCTTCTCATGGCTGGATTCATCACCCGGAATGTGGCTTCTGCTGGGCCACATCTTCATCCTTCTTGGGGGGATCTACCTCCTCCTTGTCCAGGTGAGAGCTTCTCTCCTTTCCCTACCTCATGTGGCTCTATTTGACTAAGGGGCAAACCTAAAATTCTGCTACAGGGCAATGAGTTTAGAAACAATCCCTTCATTGATGGGGGAAGGGACTCCCATACCCAGTTCCACCCAGACCAGCCTGCAGGCAATGGAGGGCCACAGGTTCTAGCCATGCCTTCTGTGGGGCTCTGATACTGTCCCTTCTGTGCCTTTTGGGATACCCATAGGGTAGCAGATGACTTCTCTGACTCCTTGCCAGTTTAGTCTCTGCTTCCCTGAAGATCAAGCCGGGAAGCCTCTTGCCCTGAATCCCTCAGCTGACCTTCATCACTTGGGGAGCACAGAAGGCTGATGGCAAGTGGGACTCAGCCCAACTCTTGCAGCAGAGCATTCCCAGGTGGAAAAGTCGCAAGATTGCAAGAGTCAGGCTGCACACCAAAATGTTGGGACCTTCTTAGAGTTGGCAGAATTAGGTACCACACTCAGGTTGTCTGGAGTACAGAGTGCTCCCCAGGAGGCAATGGAGAGGAGGAGGAAAGGAGCACTCTTCTGCACATGCAGTATGTGGGCCCTTCATCTGATTCCATGGGGGCCAGGAGGCCCCTGGCACTGTCTGAGTGCCTGTGTGAGGCTGTTCTCCCCCTCCTCAGAACTGGGGATGGTGCTCAGGGCCTCTTGCACGCTCAGCGCAGCCTCAGCTCACGTGTTCCTTTTCAAAAGAGGATTCGTGGACATCTCAGTTATTAAAAGGATTCATGAGATCCCTAAAGTCAAAGCTGCTGTGTTAACTCCAAAATGGTGCTCACCAGGCCCTGATGCAGGCAGGCCAGCAGGCAGGGAGCATGTGGGTGAGCAGGGGTCCTGGCAATCCCGAGGGACAGCTGGCTTCTTGTGCCTGAAGAACAAATTTCACACCTTCTGTTCTCCTTTTCCACAGCTGTGGTGCTTCTGGCGGCGCCGCCTGTTCATCTGGATCTCATTCATGGACAGCTACTTTGAAATCCTCTTGTATGTGTGCTGTCACTCCTACTGCACGCTGTCTGTGAGGCCTGGGGGAGGTGGGTATGGAAGAGGGCACCAGGCTGGATTTAGAGGCAATCATGCTGGGGCAGCCCAGGGAGTTCCAGAGGGTCGGGACCTGAGCACAGGCCAGACGTGGGAGTCCTGGCTACTGTCCAGCTGGGAGTCCTTCCCACTCCTGTCCTTGTGGATCATGCTTGTGATGGTTAACCTTACTAAGCCCTCATGGCACACCTGTGGTGCCTTGACACTTTCCGTGTAGTGTCTCACTTAGTCCTTGAAAGCACTCTCAGTCAGTGTCAATTATTATGCCTATTTGATAGGAGAGGGAACCGAGGCCCACAAAGGCTAAGTTGTCCAGCCCTGATTTGGTTCAGTCCCAAAGGAAGAATATTTCAAAACACCAGACTACGTTGGGAGCCGCAGTTATGGTCTGGGCTGGCCAGTAGGAATCGGGGGATATTGCCAAGTGTGGCCTGGGAGCTGACTGGAACCCTGCCCCCTACAGCCTGGCCCAGGCCCTGCTCACAGTGCTATCCCAGGTCTTGCGTTTCTCGTCCATTGAGTGGTACCTGCCCCTGCTTGTGTCCTCACTGGTGCTGGGCTGGCTGAACCTGCTTTACTACACACGAGGCTTCCAGTACACGGGCATCTACAGTGTCATGATCCAGAAGGTGAGCGATGGGGCAGGGGTGGACACCACAGCCCAGAGGGACTCCCTTTGGCCTCAAGAAACAGCAGTCTTCCTCCACAGCGAACCTGGGCAGAGGAGGGCATGAGCCTGCCCACCTGAGTGTCATTCACCCAGATGTTCGCCCAATGTTCGTGCAAGTACTTTATGGGCACTCACGGACACACAGACACACGCACATGAGTGTTTGGACACAATCACACCAGAGCACGTGCACCCTTCTTCACAAAGAAGTAGAGGATACGCTCATATGTATGTCTGTGCCCTGGGACAGGAGGGCATGTGCATCCATCCATTTATTCCATAAATGTTTAAGGAGCGCCCACTATAGTCTAGGTGTTGTTGTAAGTGTTGGTAGTAACAACAGTGAGCAAAAGAGACAAGTCCTGCTGAGGCTGACGGTTCAGCGGGGGAAAACACTAAGAAAACACCTGACAACACTGCCAACTTCTAAACTGTATAAAGGAACATCATAGGACAATATGATGGAAGACAAATGAGGTGGAGGGTGCTTTAGAGAGCTGATGTCTAAGTGGAGATCTGATAGAATGATTGAGCCACAGTAGAGTCAAGGTCAAGGAAGACGCATCCTCCACAGAGGGAATAACAAAGGTGAAGACAGTGAGTCAGGACAAGCTGAGTGCATGAGACAGAGCCAAGAGGCCAGGTAGATGGGGAGAGTGAGGCAGAGTGGAGAGGAAGTTTGCAGGCAGGTAGGGGTCAGGGGCTTTGCCCTTGGGGAGGAATCCAGAACCTAGCCCAAGGGAGGCTGAGGTGGAAGGATTGCCATGAATTTTAGGCCAGCCTGGGCTCCATTGTGAGTTCAAGGGTAGATTGAACTACATAGACCATGTCTGAAATTTTTTTTTTTTTTACCATATTAAGTGTATGTTTAAGTGGTGTTAAATACATTCCCATTGTTATGCAGCCATCATCATCGTCTATAGAATTGTTTCATCTTCATAAAGAAACTTGATGCCCACTAAGCAACTCCTCATTTTCTCCTTCTCTCAGCCTGGCAATCACCATTTATTTTCTGTCTATATGATTTACTGGTTCTAGAAACTTCATGTAAGTGGAATCACATAGTATTTGTCCAATGACTGGCTTATTTCACTTACCATAATGTCTTCAAGGTTCATCCATCTTGCAGTATGTGACAGATTTACTTCCTTTTAAAGACTGAATGGCATCTTATTGTATGGTACATATTTTGTGTGTCCATTCACCTGTTGATGGACACTTATTTCTTCCATTACTTGGCTATTATGAATAGAATAGTGCTGCTATGAATATGGTGTTCAAATATCTATTTGAAGTTCTGTTTCTTTTTCTTTTTTTGTCTTGCTTTGTAGTTTAGGCTGGAGTTGAACTCCTATTGTAGACCAGGCTGGCCTCAAAATAGTAGCAATCCTCCTGCCCCTCAGCTTTTCGAGTGCTGTGATTAGAGGTGTGCACCACCATGCTTGGCTTCAGTTCTGTTTTCAATGCCCTGCATCAATTTAAAATGTTTACCTTTCATGGTCATTTTGACTTTAGGTAATAGCCAGAAGTGATACAGTGCCAGATCTGGTGAAAAAGGTGGTTGAGGACCCACTGCAATATTTTTACAAGTCTGGATTTCTGTTGGGTGTACTTTAGCAGTAGCATTCACCATATATTTTTTTAATCATACCTTACAAAGACACTCACGAAAGAGGACTTCCAGAACTATTTCAGGAAGTGGCAAGAACAATGTGATAGCATGTTTGAAAAAAGGAGAAGGATTTCAAGGGGATTAAAGGCAATGTGTCATTTACTGTAATAATTTTTTAAAAAGTTTTAAAAAATGTTTTAAAAAATGGAAACATTCACCATGTACACCTTCTATACATACTTGTGTGCATGTGCATGACTGTGTGTAGCAGTACAATGGGAACTATGCTCAGTTCTGGGTCTGGGGAGTCATGTGTGGTGGCCCAGCCACCCAGACCAGCTTATGTGCTTGTGTCTTCCAGGTTATCCTGCGGGACCTACTCCGCTTCCTGCTGGTCTACTTAGTCTTCCTTTTTGGCTTCGCTATTGGTAAAGACCCTCTCTGGCCTCTGCTTATCCCCTCCATGCCATGTACACCCTCAAGGTTGCTTGTTGGTCTCCCCATCTGAGGAGCCCCTCTGTCCTTCCCACAGCCCTGGTGAGCCTGAGCCGGGAGTCCCGGGGCCCCAAAGTCCCTGCAAGCGTCAATGCCACAGAGGTTGCTCAGGCTGGGATAGGACAGGAGGACGAGGTGGCCCCGTACAGGACCATCCTAGATGCCTCATTGGAGCTCTTCAAATTCACCATCGGCATGGGCGAGCTGGCCTTCCAGGACCAGCTGCGCTTCCGCGGGGTGGTGTTGTTGCTGCTGCTGGCCTACGTTATGCTCACCTACGTCCTGCTGCTCAACATGCTTATCGCCCTCATGAGTGAGACAGTCAACAGTGTTGCCACCGACAGCTGGAGCATTTGGAAGCTACAGGTGCCAGAGCAAG